ATTTAGTAACAAATGGAATGGATTCGTTGATTGAGGAACTACACAGTGTCAAAACAGTTAAAGGCGATTAAAATGTGTATTTAGAATGAAGAAATGTAAGTCTCCGACTCTAGAAGAGCTAGAATTATGTTTCTTCAGCGAGAGAAAAGGGAGAAAGGAGTTCCAGCATCGAGAACGTTGAACATGAAGGTTTAGACGAAAAATATGAATAAGTTTTGAGTAGAACGTATATTTTGAACACAATTCTCACAGACGTAAAATCTGTTTCTTGACTTTAGCGACTCTGATGTTAAATTCACGTAGAAGTTTCAAGTCGTCGCGTTCGTGTAACGGAATTCCGAAATCTGAAGCTGAGTTCAGAGAAGACGAAAATCAATGATCTTCTATCACAGGTTTTATAGAGCGGAGATCCACGATACGAGTTATCCGATGTTCGCGAACCGTGTCGTAGAAAAACACGTAGAAGTCTAACGAAGCTACACGTGAAGTGTTCAAACAGTTGGCCAGTTGTTCGAGAACACTGAACTCCTCAACGAAGCGATTCCTCGATACAGCGTGCATCACAGTCTGTCAAGCCCAAGATTACCTGAAATTCTGAATTCGAAACCTTTGACTCGAGTGATCACTAGTGATCGAGTTTCAGTTCAAATATCCAATTAATTTCTATGCCGTTGAAAATATTAGATTAAATTATTATAACATCGAAGAAAAAATAAGTCCAGTTAACTTTACATTTGGAGTTTTAAAAACTGAGAAATCTGAGGTTTGAGTACAATAAACTTCAAGACTACTCTTGATTTAATGAGAGATTAAAACTGTCTTTACGAGTGTACGTGTTCCCTAGAACAGAATTTCAGAACAGAATAAAAATTTTGTAATATTAATGAACCTCCTAGCTGAAGGCCTCACAGAATCTCGAATACTACCCCATATCTTGGAACCAGATGATAATTCTCCTTCAATTCTACAGCTAAATCCTTAACAAGGGTCTCCAACCATAGAATAAGGAACCCGAGATAACTCGAGCAGTTTCCATCTCCAAGATGCACGCTGAACGAACATACATAATTTCGCAGCCCACAGCCTCAGTTTACGAGAACTGCGGGTTGCTTCCGAGAGCTCCCGCCCGGACAATGAAAATCACCGATTCCCTTCAGTCCCTCTGAACGGGCAATTTCGAAGCCACGAATCGTTCCATTCGAAAACTATCACCTCCTCCCGAGAAAAGAATTCTTCCTAACGTCCAACGAACGCGCTCGAACCGAGGCTAATGAGACTAGCCCGTCAACGACGCAGAGTGGAATCCATCGATCAAAATCGATCAATGTTAACAATCCGGCGAAGAGTCTAACTCGTTGGCGTCCCGAGGCGTCTTCCGCGAGGACGCGACCCGTGCCATCGAGAACGACGAAGCTTTCGATCGACAGGGAACAAGAGCCACGAGAGTACCGAGCTGAGAGTCATTTGTCCCGATTCGAATTTCCGGTGAACCCGAAATTCCGCGTTGATCGGCGGCCCGCGGCGGCCAGAAACGACCGATGTAAACAGCCCGACAAGGCTGAACGCGCGAACGGTCGAAAAAGACGAGACTCTAACGACGAGGACTAAAGTAGTGGTTGAGCTAGACTCGGTGGTAGTAGATCGGCGCAGAGCAGCCGGATAGAGGTGCACCGGGTGCACACTAGTCGGCCTGGCTCTCCTTAGCATTAACACGCGATATACCAGAAAAACCAGTTTGCAGGCTTTTTATTAGGCCTTTACTTTCGCCTGCGAACTGAAAGGAAGAGTGAGCGATTGAGCGAGCTAGCGAACGAGGCCTGCTAGAGTAACCGATGAGCGAGTGAGCGAGCGAACGTGCAAGCGAGCGAGGGAGCGAGCGAACAGCCAGCCAGCCAGCCAGCCAGCCAGCCAGCAAAGTGACTGACTGAGCTAACTAACGGGGTCACCAGTCGATACGGACACGCACATATAAAGAGACGGACGCGAGTATTCCGCACACATACACGCGCATACACACACATTCTCACTTTCTTTCTCTATTTCTACGTGCACATAGAGCGCACGCACACTCGGCCGAGACACGGAGATCCGTGGCCGGCGTGTTGTCTCTGTGCGTGTATAGAGCATATAGACGCGCAGACACAGAAACGCGCGCTAAGACACACACCGACGAGCCGAGTCGCGAGCTCGTATACGCAAGCACGCACACGAGCGCACACCTATACACGCTTGGAGCGGCGCACCGACGCTCTCGCTCGCGGTATTAAATAATTACTGTATCTAATAAAGAAAGTTATGCAAGCTGTTGCCGCTGCTTAGAGAGACTAGGATCGCCGCAAGGATCGCTCGATCGTGTGTCTAATGGTGTGCAAGGTGTTCGCATGCACGCGCGCGTGTCGCATCCACGAAGGATTCCTTCCGAGTTCAGAGACGCTTCCCGCATCGTTCGACCGGCTCCAAGGTCCGACGGTTCTTTCTTTTCGTTTCGAACACCTCCGAAAAAAGCATTTCTATCGTGTCGTCGCGTCCTTCGCTTTCTTCCACGATCTCGTTTTTTCACGCTCGCACCGCCCCGCGCTCGCTTTTCGCGAAACGATCGATCGGTTTTTGGCTTGAATCGTTTATTCGTTCAT